TCCCTCCCTTCCTCCCTCCCTCCCTCCCTCCCTCCCTCCTTCCCTCCATTCCTCTCTCCCTCCGTCCCTCCCTTCCTAATTCTGATTTGAGAGCTGTGTAGTGTTAGAGTTCTTCATGACTTAGGTAACTTTGTTTTTTAATAGCTACCCCCAGTTCTCCTATATTTAAAGTGAGAATTTCGATAAAATTTTAAAAAGGAATTTAACTATAGATCTTGCTTCATAGACATTATGCAATTGTTGTGACTGCTTCTCTTAATTCTGTCCCAAAGGCTAAATTTTTAATTCTCCTCATGTTTTGGAGGTCCCCAAGACCACTCCTAGGTTCACTGATTCACTACTAGTGTTACCTGAAAACTGGTTTGCCTCTTGGTGGGTGTTGAGCCAAAAGACACAACGGAGCCAAAGATGGGGAGAAGGAAGGATTTATTACTTGCAGCAAGTAAGGAGAACGCCAGGGGTCTTTCCCAAAGCAGTGTCTCTCCCAACAGCAAAATTGGGGAAGTTTTAAGCTAAGGGCACATGCATATTCATGATGGGGCTTGGGTGGTCAACAGAGTCCAAGCTTTAGTTGATTGAAGTCAGAAGTTCAGAAAAGGTCAACATCATCAGCCCTTAGGTTCCAGTACATCTGGTGGTTGAGGCTTCAGGCTACTCTTTACCATTGAAAGAGAACTGGGAGTCTTTATAACTAATATATTATCTTTGCTGTTGTTATTTCTCTTGCTTGATAACAGTCAGCGTCTGCATTCTTTCTTCTCTTAAGATCATTGATTTCTAAGACCTATTAAAGGGCAAGCATTGTGGCCAGGATTAGATCCCAGAATGGCTTAGGCCAAAATGGCCTCTCTTATGTCAAGAAAGCCATGACTGGTTTTCTTTCTCCGGGGGCCCTCTACCTTATCTGCTTACACAAAGATTCAGAGAGCTCAGCATATAGCTGTACTCATGGTTATGATTTATTACAACAACAGGCTACAGAACAAAATCAGCCAAGGGAAAAGGCTCATGGGGTGAAGTCTGCAGGAAGCGAGGCACAAGCTTCCAGGAGTTCTCTCACAGTGGAGTCACAGGGGACGTGTTTAATTTCTCCAGCATTGAATTGTGACCACACATGCAGAGCTACCAGGGAAGCTCATTAGAGACTGGGTGCTCATGGTTTTTACTGGGGCTGGTCACATAGGCACCCTCTTTCTAGCATAATTCCAGACTCCCAGAAGGAAGATAGCTGTTCACCATAAACCACGTTGTTTATACAGTTTAGGCTCAGTGAGCCTCTCTTATCAGTTCTGGGAATGGTGAGAGCCCTCCCGAGATCCAGGCTCCCAGACTCCAGCCAGGGTCTACCTTTCAAGTAGGCCTTTCTAAGGATAGTAGTCTCAGGCCTGCTGTGTTAACTCTTTGTATACAGCTAGCTTTCTTCCTTTCCTTCCACTATGCAAATCAGAACATTCAAAGAATGCTTACATCCTCCCAGTGACAAAATTACTATGATTTATATCACATTAGCAGACTGTATGTGGAGAAGGAGAGGCAAAAGAGGATGTTGCATATTTTGGGGATTACTTTCATTTTCTTATCCTCAGATGACTAGTTTTAAATTTCTACATTAATCCATTACTATTTGTCAAAAAAGATACAGGCTTATTGCTAGTATTATTTTAAAAGTTGTACTTTAAAAATCATACTTTGTGCTCTGAAGTGATCTTTTTCTATTAAAAAATACACTAGTTCCTAAAGACAACCCACAGAATGGGAATATGACAAGGAACTTGTATCTATTGATAGAATATATAAGGACTTATTACAATTCATTAATAAAAAGACAACCCACTTTAAAAAATGAACAAAGACCTGAATAGACATTTCTCCGAAGAATATCTACAAATGGCCAATAAGCCTGTAAAAAGATGCTCAACATCATTAGTCATCAGGGAAAGGCAATCAAAACTATAGTGAGGGCTTCCCTGGTGGCTCAGTGGTTAAGAATCCACCTGCCAATGCAGGGGACACAGGTTCGAGCCCTGGTCTGGGAAAATCCCACATGCCACGGAGCAGCTAAACCCGTGTGCCACAACTACTGAGCCTGCACTCTGGAGCCCGCGAGCCACAACTACTGAGCCCACGTGCTGCAACTACTGAAGCCCACACACCTAGAGCCCATGTTCCGCAACAAGAGAAGCCACCACAGTGAGAAACCCGTGCACCGCAATGAAGAGTAGCCCCCGGTCGCTGCAACTAGGGAGAAGCCCACACGCAGCAACGAAGACCCAACGCAGCCAAAAATAAATAAATAAAATAAATAAATTTATTTAAGAAAAAACAACTAGTGAGATACTACTTGACACACACTAGGATGGCTATGATCAGAAACATAGATAATAATGTGTTGCTGAGGATGTGAAGAAGAAATTGGAGCTCTCATATACTGCTGATGGGAATATAAAATGGTACAACTGCTCTGGAAAACAGTCTGGCAGTTCCTCAAATGATTAAACATAAAGTTATCATAATGATCCAGCGGTTCCACTCCTAGTGATGCCGAAAACTCGACCTCTGTGCACTGGGGCTGAATCGAATCTTGGAGATAGAGTTTCGGGTGAAGTAGAAAGAATAGCTTTACTGCTTTGGCAGGCAAAGCGGGAAACAGTGCGCTCCTGCCCAGAAAAACTGTGTGTCCAAACCTGGTAGGCAAATATTTTTATTTCATGATCTTCCTGACATATGTTTCTCGTATTTTTTTTTTTATCCTTTTCAACGTATAGCCAAGGAAGGCACGACTGAAAAATGCAGTCTGTGTTTCATTTAGGCTGGTGCTTTGTATTAGTCCCACATCAGTGTCTGGCATGGAGAAAGCATCGTGAGGGGTCTGGGAGAACTTTCTTACTTCTTCTGAGTCGAATTCTCACAGTGACTTCAGTCTGTTTTTTGAAGTATTATAAATTCTTGGCCAGGTAATCCCTGAAACTCATGTTCAAAGGCAAATACCAAAGCATATCCTAAAACCAAATATAAATGAATTTTAGCTGACTCACATCACTGCTCCCCTCATCGTGATTTTTGGAAGCTTGTCAAAAGGACTGGAAGCTCTAACTCAGGTGTTTCAGAAAAAACTAATGCATTTTTGATATTTCCCAGAGAGGACATTATTATATATCTTGAAATCTCAGCAAGGACTTGCCTCACCACAAAGCAGGGATGGTCGTGAAGGTGAAATCCTGTATCCCGTTGACCAGCCCCCTCCTGCACTGCCGTACCCTTTCCTTACAGGAGCTGTGCTGTGTGACCACATCATGGTGTGATCTTCAGAGGAGACAGGTCATCTCATTCCTTTTGTGACCTAACTTTCCGAGATCCTTTGTTTTATGGGACTGTGGAGTCTGGTGTGTGACACAGGTCCAATGACAAGATGTGCTATTTCTTTGGTGTTTCCATGATTGATGTTCTTGTAAATCCCTTTGGGGATTTTAATACTGTTCAATCTATATTTAAACCATTAAATCTGACAATAAGAAGTAGGACCCTTGGCAGAAATTAATTGCATATTTGAGAATGGCCGGTTAACGAACACCTAAACAACTTCATAGAGCAGGCAAGAACAGGTCTTTCAAGCAAAAGGGGTCCATCTTCACCTGCTCCCTGAGTAACTGGTGACAGGGTGCCAAACTCCAGAATCGCCATTAGTTTGGATATCATGGATTAGTTTTCTGGAGAAGTCGGTTGTGATGCTAATGTGGTACAGGGCATTCTTTCTCTCTCTGTCCTTGTCCCAAGCCTGTCATCCTGCAGAGCCCCTGAATGCAGTCTTGTTATGCTGTGAGGTACAAAGTCACACCAAGGAACTCTAGCCGGTAGGCATTTGTGGCAGTAGGAACATAAAGTTGATAAAGGTCTCATCTGTATTTGTTTTCTCTCTCCCATCTCCTGCATCCTTACCAGGCAAAAGTAGAAGAAAAGATCCAAGAGGTCTTCAGTTCTTACAAGTTCAACCACCTTGTACCAAGGTAAGCTGTGGTTAAGTGTTTGAGGGGATCCGGGAAATACCATCTCCCATGGGAGCCTTTCTTCTTTCCTCCTTGAGCTTGTCCAACCTCAGGGGATGAGTCTGATGTGAGGCTGGTGTTCCCTGACCTTGTGGCTCCCTGGAGATGCTCCTGACCCCAGCTCCTTCCACTATTAGAATACTGTCTAGAGGAGCCGCTCACTTGAACTGAGCCATCAGGTGTTACATGGGGATGCCCTCAGGGCCTGAACTCTGAGCTCTGAAGGTGGAGAGAGGAAGTTCATGATCTTGAACCTTAGTTCTGACCTGCTGTGCTGGTGTTCAGAACTCTCAAGCTTTTCATATAACACTTTGAAACAGATGTAGAGTCCAGGGGGATGGCAAAGGATGGCTTCCTTTGATGTGTATTATGACTTGACTGGGAAAATGTGAGAAGTTTGAGCTTCTCCCAGCCTGGCCTTTACTGGTGACTGTGCAGCAGATTCCCAAGGGCGACATTTCAAGTGAGAAATAGAATGCCTTTTGTTTTCCTTGGTGCTTAGTAAGTTGAAGCCTTCTGAGCTCTTTGATGTCAGAAATTCCAAAAGGAGGATTATAAGCAGAAACTTATTAATTTGAACCTTCATTTTCTCTTTTTTTCCCCCAATTTTGTAATGTATCACACTAGGATTTCATAAGGTTATTTTATTTATTAGCATTTCTCTTCTAATCATAGATTGCTTCTCTGAAACTGTCCTGTGTTATCCTTCCTGATCAATAGTCCAAATTGTGTTTGGTCATTGTTTTATCTTAATGTTATAGCACTTTTCCTTGACAGTCTCTGGACGTAGTCTAGTTGGGCCGCTGGCTGATTCTCTCTGGATGGGAAGCTGAAGGGTCTGAGGTCCAGCCTGACCTCCTTTATCATGTCTCCCAATTTCCTGAGGCCTCCTAACACACTAACTCCTGGCAAGTCAGTCTCTGGGTACTTCTGCTTACTGGAGTATTACATATATTTCTAGCCTGAGTTAACTTTGTGTCTTTTTTTGCCACCATTCCATTTTGCCCTTATTTCCATGAGAAGAAATTTAGTTAAAATATTCTGATTAGCCAAGGCAGAAAACAGTTGGAAAAATGGAAAGACAGGTGGAAAAGTTCTCTTCATCTTTCTTCCCTAGAGCAGAAAAGGAAAGCATCAACTAACCAGAGGAGTCTTCTTCCAAACTGCTAACCTAAATTTCTACTTTAACTCGTAGCCCAGACCTCAATAAATGAATTATTGCTTTTGTCGTGAGCCACAGTTGGAGCTTAGCAAATGACACCAGTTGTGTAAACAGCTTGGGGAGAAGGAGCTCTCTGCCCAGTACAGGCTGTTTCCCCAGAGGTGGTAGGACTTGGTGATGGTGAGGGGCATGGTGGCTTCAGGAGGGGTTTGTGGTTAGAGTTGCATCACGATGACTCACCTGATTGTGCTCTGAGTCACTGTGCCCTGTCTCCAGCTCTGTGGACACATATCCTCTGTATTTCCAAAGGGACCTTTGATCATTTGACGTTCCTTTTTCATCCACCATCAGAATAGAGCCCTTGGACTTTCCTTTTATTCTTACTGAGACGGGAGGGAGAATAGGAAGTTACAATCTGGGAAGAAGCTCTGTTTTGGGAGTGGTGGTAGAGGACAGTAAAGGAGTAAAATCCCCTGATTCATAGGTCTTAGGTCAGGTGTGGGTGGAAAACAAAAATGTTTCTGTTGGGTTTGTATCCTTTGTGGAAATAGAATATACCAGGGCTCTGGGTTTATGTCAGGAATCTGACATTTCCCATTTTGTCATTGTTGCCTATGAAAATGAGTGTTTTACAGGATGCTAATTAGCATCTTATGTCACGGCATGCTAATTAATATTAGAGATATTACACACTGTGGCCAAATGGCTGAGAATGTAAATCAACTTATCAACATAAGGCTGGAGCCAAACATCTTCACCATAGAATGAACTTCTGGGGTTTAAGAATAAATATGAAAATTTATCAGCATTTTAAATTACTATCACAATTACAATATTTAACATTTTAGTAGTCAAATTTTAAAAGTCTAGTATTATATTGCAGGAATGAAACTTCCTTGTTAGCTAAAGTGAATATTCAGATAGAGCAATTAATCTAGGTGACGTGGCTTGTTTGTGTTTCTGAGGTCATGCTGCTGATCAGATGTGGCAGAATCACACACACTCCCAGGATCACTGACCATGCCCAGGTCCAGGGATGCCAGGAATGATGCTGAGCGAGGCCTCCATGTATTCAGCCTTTCAGAGCCACTGCCAAATGGAAGATTGGGCTGAAGTTCAAGGCTGAAGCTGAATGTTGTTACATTCTACAGTTTATTCCGCATCCCAGAAATGGTTCTCCTTACTCTCAGACTGTGAAACATGCATTCTCTCCTGGAGTGAGGTGGGCCCTCCCAAGGAGCTTTTGGACCATGCTTTGAACAGTTTTGTTTATCAGTATCCTGCTTTCCCATAAAAGTTAATTTTTCTTTCCCTGTGGTTAGTCATTCTCACAGTTTCACATGCTTATGAATTTACCCTTTTCCATGTATTATATTAGCTTTAGTAAGACACCTGAAATGCATAAACCACACACACACACACACACACACAGTCACATAAAATTTTTAAATTGTCAGGGGGTTCCCTGGTGACCTAGTGGTTAGGATTCCGGGCTTTCGCTGCCGTAACCCAGGTTCAGTTCCTGGTCTGGGAACTGAGATCCCTCAAGCTGTGCAGCATGGCCAAAAAACAAACAAACAAACAATTGTTTTTTTCTTGGGAAAAAGTAGCCTGGTGCTCCTTGTAAGGGGGAAATATTGATAATGCTAATAGAGCACTAAAGGTTAAGTGTTGGCAGTTGCTCTGAAGCCAAAATGCTCTGAGTTAAGCTCTCAAAGCAGTTTTCATACGGGCACCTGCTCAGCTTCCATGTTTTCTGCCATTTCGCTATGCGATGATACTTTAGCATTTTCCAAATCCTGAGCAGTTAAAAGATGTGGACCTTCATACTGTTGTTCTTTCCAAGGTTCATACAAGTAAGTTCATCTTCCCTCCCGCCCTCTCTCAAGTGACTTACTGCTTATGTGCCAGAGGCTTACTTTTTGACTGGAGAAGCCCCTGGCTTTCGTGGGATTAAAACCCTCCCAGCAGCCAACAATGGACTGAATCCCTGTTCTCTCATCTGTCACAAACAAAGGCATGAGTCTCAGGGATGGTCCACGTTTAGGGGGAGGGAGTGTGTTTGCTGTCATTCAGTTTGCTGTGTTCATTTAAAGTCATTCATTCCTTCACCCATTTGGCAACGGTATCTAGGGGCTCAGGCACTGCTGGGCTCTGGGAACAGGGTGAGCAAGGCTGACCCAGGTCCTGCTCCTGCTGGGCTCTCAGTCTCATGGGGAAGGTAGTTATTAAACCAATGAATTCAAAGAACATAGTTACCAAGGGGGTGACTGTCTCTCTCTTTTTTTAAAATATAAATTTCTTTTATTTATTTATTTTTGGCTGCGTTGGGTCTTCGTTGCTTCTCCCTAGTTGCCGCGAGCGGGGGCTACTCTTCGTTGCAGTGCACGGGCTTCTCACTGCGGTGACTTCTCCTGTTGCGGAACACGGGCTCTAGGTGCGCGGGCTTCAGTAGTTGTGGCTCGCGGGCTCTAGAGCTCAGGCTCAGTAGTTGTGGCGCATGGGCTTAGTTGCTCTGCAGCATGTGGGATCTTCCCGGACCAGGGCTCAAACCCGTGTCCTCTGCATTGGCAGGCGGATTCTCAACCACTGCGCCACCAGGGAGGCCCGGAGGTAACTGTCTTAAGAAGGGCACGTGGTGCTCCGAGAGAGAGTAACAGGGAGGGTGTAAATTAGGTTGGATGTAAATTAGGGAAGGTGTCTCAGTCTATTTGGGCTGCTGTAGCAACTTCCTGTAGATCGGGTGACTTAACGTTTATTTCTCACTGTTCTGGAGCCTGGGAAGTCCAAGATCAAGGCACCAGCAGATCTGGTGTCTGGCGAGGACCCGCACCTCTGGTTCATAGATGGCATCTTCTCACTGTATTCTCACCTGGTGGAAGAAGCTCTCTGGGGTCTCTTTTGTAAGAGCACTAATCCCTTCATGAGAACTCTACCCTGACCACCTAATCACCATGCAGAGAGGTCCCCACCTCCTAATACCATCACACTGAGAATTAGGATTTCAACATAAGAGTTTTGGAGGGATGTAGACATTAAGTCTGTAGCAGAGGCCTCTCAGAGAAAGTGACTCTTAGGCTGAGACCTGGGGGGTGAGTAGGAATTGGCCAGTTTAGGAGGTGGTGGGACTTTTCCAGGCAGAGGGAAAACATGAGCTACAGCTCTGAGACTGAAAAGAGCAGAGTGCAGCCAAGGCAGTGTGACTGGAGCTTGGTGAGGGCATGGGACTGCACTGTACATGCTGCACGGTACACAAGTATTTCTAAGTTACTTCTCCAACAGTGGAACCAGGCTGCCAGTACCCTAAATATATGCATTTATTTGGTCATTCCTGTGTGTCCCAGTCTCCCACCCCTCTCTCCGCAGCCACACAGATGCCCTCCTCAACCAGTTGAGCACTTGTGCCCTGCCGCGTGCCCTGCCGCATGCCCTGCAGCGTGCCCTGCCACCCTACTCCTGCGCAGAGCCTGGCTTGTTCTGCTCCACCTGATTGAATGGCTTTGGGGCTGAATTATTCAGAAAGGAAAGGGAAAGAGCTCTAGCTTTTCTTTTCTAATGCCCTACACAGAAAAGAGTTTTAGATCTAGAGGTGACTTTAGAATAAAAGAATGGTAAGAGTATTAGTTTGCTAGGGCTGCTGTAATCAAATACCACTGATGGGATGGCTTAAACAACAGAAATTTGTTTTCTTACAGTTTGGGAGGCTGGAATTCCAAGATCAGGGTGTTGGCAGGGTTGGTTTCTCCTGAGATCTCTCTCCTTAGCTTGCAGAGGCCGCCTTCTCACTGTGTGTTCACAT